AGGTAAGTAGGTACCTACGTACCTACTTACCTCAATTTACGTAAATTAATGGCTAGAATGGAAAGAAATCATTTATTTCTCAGTTGAACCCTTTTCGATAGCTCGATTCGTGCGAAAAATCTACTTATATTACCGTAATATAATGCGAGATAGAACAAAATATGTATTACCGAGGAGAATGTGTCCTATAAAGTTTATCAGTAAATAGATTCGCTATCACCCCGCTATCTCGGACCTAGTGACACGGATAGCAAAGTAAATAGTCGAATGTCCATTTCGATACCTTCATACGGCCAATCAAGTTTATCCTGAATCCTTAGTACGAGTTTGTTCTACGTTTGAAGTATTCGAAACGAGTACGCGTTCGGCGCTCTGATTGGCCGACGCCAATGAACCAACCAATCAGAGCGTCGAAGGCCTATGGTCTTTGTTTTGTATGATCTGGTCATTAGCGGTCAGTTCAATAAGCGGATGAAAGTGAAATAGGTCAATAAATAAAATACTTTAATCTTACAAACAACAGGATAAAATATTGATGGCAAACAAACAACTAATGAATCGTTTGAATAAAAAAAAATATTGGTACAGGTACACATGAAGCTATGAAATCCAGTATAAGCTGACCGTCGAATGTATGAAAAGATTGAACAAGGCTAGACCATGATAAATTGGTTTTAAATATCTTGATGTGGCTACACAAGGTATGGCTATGAGTAACCAGTATAAACTGACCCGTCAAATGTACAGAAAGATGGTACAAAGCTAGACCACGATAAATTGGTTATGTGTAGCCATGTCTACAACAAATTGTAATTTGAATTGGAAGTGTTTAATGAAACACAGATGTTCAAGAAAGAAAAATTTTGTTATTTTACTCTCAGCCATTTGTTTAATTAATAATTTATTTTACTCGTAAAATGTTTCCTGTTGAAGATTTTCAAAATAATTGTACTAACATCCGTATGCTATAAACTCAGGTGTTTGCACGTTGAGCAGTAAATATATTATGCAAAGTTCTATGGAACACATAACATCACGCCTTTTATCCCCGAAGGGATGGAGTTTGTGTGTTTGTTTGTTACTGAATCACGTCAAAACGGCTGGAGGAATGGGGATGAATTTTGGAACATGGATAGATAATGGTCTGAAATAATACATGGGGTAGATCTTATCACACTGGAACGCGGGCAAAACCGCTGGCAGAAGCTAGTGATATATACTAATAACATAACATAACATCACGCCTTTTATCCCTGAAGGTGTAGGCAGAGGTGCACATTATGCCGCTGTACAATGTAACACCCACTTTTCACTATTTATGTTATAAATTCCATGTAATAAAGGATAAGCCTATTACCATATACCGGGCACAATTCCAGACTCCGTGGTACTACTGAGAATTTTTTAAACCCAGTAATACTTGGAAATCGAACCCGAAAGTTCTATGGAATTGTGTACAATTACAAGTTACGGTTTTTTTTTGTAGTGGAAATTATCCAATGATTCCTTTCTCCCTGAGAGGGAGTGTCAGACTCTTATTGAGCCGGACTTCGAGCCGGAGCCCCGGTAACCTGCACGGTTGTCAGCAGAGCCCCGGAAGAGCAAAGGTTAAAAAAAACCCTTCATTTTTTTAACCTTTGCCTCACGCTAGGTTTTTCTCCCATATCGTGGGTGCGTTTACAAACCTATAAGTTTATATACACATGACATCCAGATCCGTAGCAACAATTTTTGGATCACACATTGCTCCGTGCGGGGATCGAACTCGCTACGCGTTGTGCGGCAACCGGTAGCCCAGCCACTGCATCAACCGTGCAGTCCAATCCAGATTTTGAACTTTTTTACAACAAAAATAAAATTTAAAATGTACAGCAGAATTAAGACAATTCGTTTAGTTGTCTGTACGTGACGTACAACACTCCAATTTGTATCAATTGTTTTAATGGAAATGCATGGCGTCACACTGTCCATACATGCGGTGATATCATACACACATTTTATCAACATTGAATCATTGCTTAAATATGATACACTTGCGACCCGCCCCGACCTCGCACGGGTGCAATATTTATGTATTATACATAAACCTTCCTTAAGAATCATTCTATCTATCAAAAGAAACCGCATCAAAATCTGTTGCGTAGTTTTAAAGATCTAACCATACATAGGGACAGACAGACGGCGGATAGCGACTTTGTTTTATACTATGTAGTGATACATCATTGTACGGTATAAGAACATTTTGGTTCTTTCAAAGAGGTCTTTTTTTTAAGGGGGGAAAATCATCAAATGACTACTCCCGCCAGGGTGAGGCGGGAGGGAGTATCAGACTCTTACTGACTAAAAACCACCCCGTTCCTTCTCCTGCACGTCGAGCCGGAGCCCCGGTTCCCCGTTAGGTTCTCCGCGACAAGGTCTAGACTATTGTCAATTTGTTATTTCAACAATATTATACACAACAGCACATGAGAGTCCAGCACATAACAGTCAGCTCCGTGACGGAAGCTAGAGAGACTTATAAAATATTGGCTAGTCGACTTATGTCGGAATACTAAAACGCTACTCAATTTTAAGTCGCGCTTATGTATAGTTCTGTCACCACTGATTCTTTGTAAAATGACAGAGATGGCACGATATTTGAGCACGACTTAAAATTGAGTAACGTTTCAGTATTCCGGCCTTAATTACTTATTTTGTGTGAACAAGACTAAGAGGGTATGTATGTATGACATAATGTCTCTGCTAGGCGGGTTGTAGATCTCAGTGTCAGGTCCCAGGTTTCATAAAAATATACATTTGGTGACTGCATCGTTGGCCGAGTGGTCGCAAGTGCGACTGCCGGGCAAGGGGTCTCGGGTTTGATTCCCGGGTCGGGCAAAGTATTACTGGGTTTTTAAAAAAAATCAGTCTTAGCACGGAGTATGGGATTGGACTCATAAATAGTGAAAAGTGGGTGTTATTTCTGTGTGCACCTCTGCTTACTTCTTCAGGAATAAAAGGCGTGATGTTATGTTATGTTATACATTTGGTGTAAGCACTTTAAAATATTTTCACAACATTTTTGTAACAGTAAAATAACTATATGCAAATGTACATACATGTCTGCATAATATATTTCCTATCTAGTCATTTGCATATTTCTAAGTAGGAGTTTGACTTATAAACATAAGTTCATATGCAGACTACAGCAAGGCAACCTATTCCAAATAGATTTTCTACTTTATATCAAAAGAATAAGGTGTAAAATCTAAGAGTAACAGTGCAGGTTGATCTGGTTGTGGTTGTACATAATATAGTATGTACATATATTTAGTTAAACAACTCGGTTCCTTGCCTACCTTATGTTTTCTTTGCTTATCACTATGTTTGTAATTTTACAGTTAGGTTCGGTCTCGGTTGAATGATTTTGCACCTACTTATCTTAGTTTGATAGTCTTTATTTGTTTGGCAAAGGTAATTTTTGCCAGTTAGATATACTAATACATACTACAGTTACTTCTTGTAATGAGGATATAAAATATTTTAAGGATCTTTTCAAATATGAAAATAGAGAGAGTAGTTACTCTCTATGCTACTATTCTCTATAGCTTGAAACTAGTCGAGTCCCTCTTGACAACTGTCACTCACTCGACTAGTTTCAAGCCACGCTCCGGACTCATATGTGAACCTTCGACAGGTGCTCAAAAATGTTAAGTTGTTGCAGTGGTTTATTCCGAGGTTTTATATTTCACTAATATAGTTAGTCTCTTTTTTGCAAACCTAATATGGACTAACTAGTGTAAAATAAATGATTTTTTATTATTATTATATTCATTCGCGGTCACAAACGACTGTGGCTCGAAAATAGTCAAGCTGCTCATCAAATAGTTACGTCAATATAACAGTTAATTCAATACGAGCCTCTACCACCGACTTCGCTTGCGTTTCTATTATAATAAATAGCCTATGTGTTTAGTGTTGTTCCACACCATAATCTACCCATATTTCAAATTCATCTCGATCCCTTCAGCGGTTTAGACGTATTTGAATGACAAACATACATACACAAATTCACTTACAAACTTTCGCACTTATATCATTTTTAAGTAAGATGTCTCACGAGATTTTTATTACAGAAATATATTGTTAATATCAGCCATTAACAAGCTATGAAACACAATTTTTTATCGTCTATTTAAAACATATGACGCGAGTGTCCGCGCTTGTGGTCGCGAGAAAACTGCCTGATAAGTTATCAGTGATTGAATCATAGGCTAGTACTAAGAGTAGGTCTTTGTGTTGAATTCTAGTGTTCATGAATATTTTATAGTAACGTACTACTGTTTAATTAAGTTGGTTTTATGAAAAGGAGTTTGTGAAACTGAAGGATTTGCAGTCTGAAATATTATGTGCGGCATCACACCACGAAGTGTAGATGTATCGATGATATAAAAATATGTTATACTCGTTTCTTAATAACTGAGACTAATTTGATCAGGGGCGGATTTACCTCTTTTCTGTCGATATACAAGACACAATAGAAAACAAATTATGTGTCGCGTTGATATGCGTTCCGACAGACAAGAGGTTAAACCTAGAGAGCGCTCTAGGCCATAGAATACTAGCAAATCCTAGGCAAGCAAATTTTGTTTGGCGCCGGCGCCATTTTATAGGTTGTTAGGCATGTGCGTCTTACTGCGCCCCTCTGTTCTAGTTTGCCTTAGGAATAATACGGTTTTGACATTAATATTACAGAATAACATACCTACACGCACGAAGCGCTACGCATCAAGCTTCCTTGTGCGTAGTACTAAGGAGTGGAATTCTTTGCCAGAGTCTGTATTTTCTGAAGGGTAACCTGGGTGTCTTCAAGGCCCGAGTGAATAGGTTGCTTATGGGACGACGTACTCCATCGTAGGCTAAATCATCGCTTATCACCAGGCGAGATAGTGGTCAAACGTCGCCCCATCAAATATTAAAAAAAAGAATAGGTAACTAAAATAAGTACTTCTAAGACTCACCTCTCTTCAAATATGCTGGAATTTGCCATAAAACTATCATCAATAAGACTGCTGTCTTCCATAGCACTTCTGTCGAAAGTCTTCTCTTCATCCTCTCGCGGCAACAGAGGGGGTAAGCTGTGATACTGCTCCTCCAACGACTTGCTTTGTTCCGAGCGATACTTCTGATTCCAAAGTTTTTTCGTTTCGTCTTGCACTCGCCGTTTTAATTCCGATATCTTTTCACGTTCGTTTTCGATTACTTGACATCCTTTTGGAAAGAAATGATAAGTTTTTATAATAACTATCGTGAGACATACTTAATCCTGAATATATTGAGAAATGCTCAACTAGTTTCGAACCACAGAGAGGTTCTTCCTTATGAGCAGCGTGCGCCGTCGCCGCGAGGACGTGCAGCATCAAGAGAGCTTTTCGCAGTATATTCACGTGAGTAACTAGCGATTTTTATTGACAAAATGATAAAATTGTGAAAATAAATTATTGGGGTTCTAGCTCGCTCGTTTTAATAATACCTTTTTAGACTGACCTATTGGTACTGGTTAGCTCCTTTTCGGTCTACTTAAAATATTTCTTGTTGAGGCAATAACAGGCTCATTTTTCGTTTAAACCAAAATTTATGATATTAAAGTACTAACAAGTTTTTTTTTAATTTACTTTATCATTTAATTTACGCATTAGTGTAATGCTCGTGTACAGCCAGTCCTAAGCTAGAGCGAGAAACTTAACTTCTTTGTAATGAACAAAAAGAGAACAGAACATCAAAAACAATAACAAAAATGTTCTAATATTTACCTTGTTCCTCCAACATTTCAAGTCGTTTCCTTTCGACCTCCATTAGACTGTCCAGCGTCCTTTTCCCTAACGTATTCATATCAGTATCAGATGGCAATATGGGAGCATCTATAGTGACCTTCGATATCCTATCAATATCATCTTGCGAAGGAATTTTTACAGCATCAGCCATTTTCTGAAATTCTTTCACACTAGGTTCATCTCCACAGCTCTTTCTATGAAGAATTTTAGCTGATTGTATACTGCTTTCTTTAGGAGGAGTATTCTCAAAGGTAACTTTAGCTTTTTGTTCTTCTGTGTCAACTTCTTCCATGATATCTTCTTCTTTTTTATCGGGTGATAGAGATTTCGCTTTAACGTATTTATTGTCGGCGTTGATCGGTTTTGTGTTTTTAATATAACGGTTTTTCAAATTGTTCTCCTTGTCTGACTCATCGTTTTTGAGGCTATTCTCTCTAGATCTTTTATTGAACGAATCTTTTTTCATTATCTTTCCTAAAGCAGCGAATGTTGGTATTTTTGATGATGAATTGCTTTTGACTGGTCCAGGAGCTTTTTCCTTCTTCTTCGAATGCCTTAAGCTATTGAATTTGTCTAAACTAACATCAGCTTCTATATTATCATTATAGAACAGATTTTCGTTCAAACTCTGCGACATGATGTCGACTTTTTCGGGAGATTTTGGTTTTTTACTCTTCCGTTTTAGGGAATCGAAGTTTCTTTCCCAAAATCCTTTCTTTTCTTTCGAAGACGTTGAAGACTTCGAAGGGCTTTCGCTGTACCTTTCATTAGTGTCTGCTAAGTCAGTGATAACTCTTCTTTCAATGTCTACAGTCATAGATTGGGACATTTGATCTATAGAATTGAATTTATCTTTAAGATTCTTAGTATGGTCTTCGAAGGTTGAGATTTTTAAGTCAATGTCATCGCTATCGGAGCTCTGTGGGGAATAGCCAAATTCTCCTGACTTGGCTCTAGTTTGGTCGGTGAAGAAAGCGCTATCAGGAGACTGAGTTCTTTCTATATCGTTAAGTTTTGCTACGATAGGTTTTAGTTCTTTTTCTGCAGCTTGTACTTTACCAGTTAGTTCTTCGACTAAGTTAAGTAGTCTCACGTACTCTGCGTGAAGTATTTTTGTTTCATCTAGTGCTGATGTTAGATTGTTGTTAGCTTCTGATTTTAATGTTAGTATCCTCGTCTTCTGCGCTTCTATTTTCTTTGTCAGTAAGATGATTTCGTTTTGGATGTCTTCTCTGTTTGATAATCTGTAACAGATAATTATAACTATTGTTATTAGATCATTGAAACCTACGTTTTATGCTTTTTCCTTTATGTTACAATTGTATCTTTTCGCGAATAGGTGGACTAAGTAGGTTCAAATGATACTTTGCGAGATATTTGGATTAGAGGCCCTTCGAAATCAGTAGGTAATTATTTTATTCGAATCATAATTTTATATAAAGTATTTTTTTTACTTACAGCTCTGACTCTTCTTCTAGATGTTGGAATTCTAAGTCCTCAGAGATCTTGGTCTCATTGTCTAGGATATCCTGCGCGTTCTGCAACTCTTCAAGAGTGGCTGCATTGCTCTTCAGGTCTTTCTCTAGCCTGAATAAGAAGATGTCAAAACATGAATTTTATGAATAAAGAAAATTGGACCTAGATTGGTCTTTGGAGAATATTTAGTACAAAAGCCGGAAACATACGATGGCGGACTTAATACAACAGTATTTTACATGTGACTTATCATCTTAGTCTTAAGAGTTCATAATCAATTACCAGTTAGTATTCGAGGCAGATAAAAGTGTATGCTAAGGTACAAAAAAGCTGATAAAAGTGGAACGAAAAAGATTTTTATTAAATTATTATGCTTGATATCTTTACTGAACTCACCTTTCAACTTTCAACGTAGCGATCTCGACTCTATCCCTCATCTCATTTTGCCTCGTCTCTTGTTTATCTTTCAGTTGCTTTATTTCTTCTTCAATCTTCTTTGCACTCTCCACTAAGTCCATCTTTTTCTTCTGTTCTATGTTTAGGATCGCTATTTCTGAGTCATACTCTCCTTTGATTAGGGCTTTCTCCATCTCCAACTAGAAAAAGAAAATGTTAGTCAACGACCTATTTTTTTTAAACGTTGCGTCATAGAAATTATTCGCTTGGTTTGTGGAATATGCAATAAAATTATAACTAACCTCTCTCAAAATATCATCTTCCTGTAACCTAATTTCAGACATCTTGCATTTGATTTCATGTATCTCTGTCACCAACTTCTTCCTGTCTTCTTTTAATTTCTCATATTTAGTCTTCAATTCATCTACATTGTCATCTAAAACTGCACTGTCTAAAGAGTCAGCTTCTATATCTATCTTCTTAATGTCTTCTGTGATGTTCTTTATAATCTTATCTCTTTTATTCTCTTTCAAATCTTTTTCGAATTCTTCTAATTCTGGAATGTCTGCCATTAGTTCTTTTTTCATGTCATCGAAACTTTGGTTTTTGTTTATAACTACGTCTGGACTCTTTTCGGGAGTCGCTTCCTTTTTATCATCGTTAGCTACTTTGGAATATCTAAATTCTAAGTCATTTGTCAAATCATCATCTATCATTGGTATTTCTTCTTCGAGACTCAATTGTTTTTCAATACCATCGAATTTAGGTTTGTCAATTTCATTACTAGTTTGCTTTTCTTGTTCTGTCCGTTCGAAATTAGGTTTTTTGGAATTATCTACAGGAGGCGGAGTGGGGAATATAAAATACTGTGGTGAAGGTGGATTCATTTTATGAGCAAATGTCGTTTTAATTCTAGTCCTAGGGCTTTGAGTGTTAGGAGATTTGGGTTTCAAGTTACCGTACACGTTATTTCTATAGTAGACGTTTTCGTAGGGGCTTCCTATGGGAGAGGAGAGGTTAGGGACACGATCCCCACTTTGGTTATGGAGTTTCCTTATCATAATGGGACTAGAAAGATCGTGCATTCGTGGAGAAGGATCATCGAAGACTGGAATCCCTATTTCATCCATCCTGCCTACATTTTCGTAGTTGTTTTGATTTGGGATGACGACCTCAGGAGTGAGCTCTGTGGGGGACGTGGTGTCGAAGTTCTCATAGCTGGAGAGGTTCCTTTGGATGGGAAGAGACTGGCTCATAGGTGAACTCTTGTTATGACTAGTTTCAAACCTGTAAGAGAAAAAGAAATTTGAGATTAGAGCGTGCGACAGTTATTTTCTAATTATACAGAACATACGAAACTGAAATAGGAGAAAGCCTATTTAAAACTCGTAGTATAAAGATAAATTATTTTGCAATGTCAATGTCCTAAGCATCTTTTTTTTTATACTTTATAGGTCGACGTTTGACCACCATCTCGCCTGATGGTAAGCAATGATGTGGCCGACGATGGAGCACGCCTACCTATGAGCAACCTGTTCACTCGGGACTTGAAGACACCCAAGTCATATTTGACGGGAAACACAGCCTCTGGCAAGGAATTCCATTCCTTAGCGATTCGCATGAGGAAGCTTGACGCGAAACGCTTCGTGCGAATGGGTGGAATGTCCACCATATAAGGGTGGTAAATAATAAGACAGAAGTATATTTCTATAGTTCTTCCTAATTACCATTCAAAAGAAGCTTTGATTTATTTACTTTACAAAAGACAATTTTGAATTTAATTTTATTTATTCGTTTTACTAAACGAATACAGTTTCAAGTCAAACAAAAACCAACCATAAATATAATAGAAATAACTCTTTAAATTGACTTACTTGTAATACCCATCGCTGGTCTGTACAAAGTTGGGGTTGTTTAGCGCGACGCTGCGCGGGAGTGACCCGTTTGTGATGATCTTGTTGTGCGGCCTCTTCTCCGTCGGCGTTATTGGGATGCCTGGAAATAAAATTAAACATGCATTTAATTATAAGTACTTTAAACATGACATAACATCACGCCTTTTATCCCCAAAGGAGGGGCAGAGGTGCACATTACGGCACTTAAACTGTCAAACACCAAGCGGTCACCGGTGACCTCAACCTATTGTTCTATAATTGTGTCTACAAAACCGGTACTCGACGAGTTAATGCCACTGTTAAAT